GCTAAGCATGGGAAGGATGTTACGCCCATTGATGGCGGTGGTGGCTAGCCTTTGACAGCCACAAGGGGGTCCATCCATGATACAACTATTTTGGGATTGTCATGGCAGGGGCATTTTCATGACAATTCTTTGTAGTATTGTATGGTGGTGCTCTGCTCTATGTGCCCCTATACATTTTGCCTCTGTCTTCTCGGCGGCGGTGTTTGCAGTTTTGGTATTTTGCTTGTGTCTTTACTTTTCCTTGATATGTGTTTTCTCTATCAATCCCTTGCGGCTTTGTCTGGATGTCTCGTCTTCACCACCATATCATGTCCTGCTCCTCGATCGATTGACTATTCTACCGTCTCTCCTCGATGATACTAGTGCAGTTAAGGATGCTTTTAAAGTGCATATGACACTCACCTCATGGATTATGATTGCACTCTTTGTAAATTGTAGTTGTGGTGGCGTATCCATCACTATTTTCCTATTGCTTCTTTGGTGGTGGTTATGGTCTTGCGTTGGGGGCTTTGCTAATCGGTTATTGGTGGTTCGGCATTTCCCATTTCATTGTCTTACGACTTTTTATGTTTTTCTTGTTGTTTTTTTTGGACGAAATGTTTTTCTTGTTGTACATTTTTTATTTTCCTTTTCCTTTTTGGCAGCCCCTCTCTTCTCCTTTATCTTCTTCTTCCTTCTCTCTCCCTAACATTTCTCTTTCTCTCATTTCTCTTGCGGCAATCACTGTAGCAATCGTGACCGTTCAACTTCCCCACCACCAATTGACTCCAACGTGCACTGATTGACCACGTCGTGTTCACAAAAATTGTTCCTATCTTCCTCCTCTACAAAACCCACTAAAGAATTGGTCTTGAAAACCCAAGATTTCATTGGATTTTGGACTGAAACCGAGACCCAAAACCCTTATTCTACGCTGTCGATTTCAGGGCTTTTTCCAACAACTCCGGCCACCATTTTCGTCGATTTAGGTATGATTCTTTATCTACTCTTTGTGCTCTAACTGTTTATGTAAGTGTTTTGGGCCGATTTTGTTGTTTGAAGGTTCGATTTAGAAACCCACATGGCTGGCAGCTTTGGCCATGTTCCAGGCCACTCCGGCTACTTTTTGGCTGAGGTCCAAAAACCAAAAACACTGCTTGATCTTTTGGTGTAAGTTTTGGTCGGTGATTTGGAGAATTTCCGTAGCTGGGAAATCTCTCAAGCCACCCACAATCGGTGGGGCGTGGTAGCACGTCAGCCTAATGTTGATCACATGTTTTAGAACTAGAATTGTTCCATCATCGTCCCGAGCACCACGATATGCTTGGATTAGCTAGATTAGACAGTTTGAGTATTATACCAAAAATACCCATTTTTGTGTTTGATAAGTTTGGACTGTCGGATCATGATGAAACTCTTGGGATATGTTTAGTGGATTGTGTTGGACCTATAGAAACTTTCGGATTGGAAATCGGAGGTCGTGGACCCCGCAGGGCCCTGTTATGGTCTCCAAAGATCGTCTCAGCCATTGAAAAACATTACAATTGCCCTAGGAACCTTTTCATAAAGGTTGTGCACACACTGTGAGTCATAGGAACTAGGGTATTGATTTAAAGTGAAGTGTTGGATTCGATTATTAAGTTAATCCTTGTATTCTCTCAAATAGGTTATTAGGCGCAATGTATCGCTCTAGACGAACCCGCAGAGGGTTAAGTGTGCTTTGGAATTCTTGAATTGTGATTATTATTTGTATTGTTTTATAAAATTGATGAATTATGAATTCCAGTTTTCTGAACAATATATTATGCATATTCAGATAGTTTGAGAACGGTTTTGAAGGATTATGCATGGTCTGAATCAAGTTAATGAATTTTGGGATTGATATCGGTTTTAAAAGGGATTTTTCTTATTTATTTAAGAAAGGATTTTTGGAAAGGTAATTGAGGGCTTGTTTGGTATTGGATTTGAATCCAATTTTATAAACTCAAAAACAGATTTTAAGTTAAAAGCCAAAAGCACCCGTTTGGTAGGTCCATTTTTAAAAGGCTTTTTATCACAAAACGTCTCTGACGTTTACGAAACTATCAAATTGCATCCTTAAAGTTTTTTTGTATCACTCATGGTCCCTAACGTTAATATGAGGGGTAATGCTATGCTTACCACATAAATCTACCACATTTTAATACCATCTTACATGGCAGCTGATGTGAACAACCACCTCATTAAAATTATATTAGTTTTTTTTTTTTTTAAGGAGATAATATTTTCTATATTTTTCTTTAGTTAAAAATTTTAAAAAAAAAATAAACTAAACCCTACGACCACTTTTCACACATCTCTCTGCCTCCCCCAATTCTCTCTCCCTCCTTCCTCTCCTCCCCATCGCAGTGCTTCGCCGTACTCCTGCCACCACTCCTCCCCATCGCAGGTGCTTCGCCGGACTTCTGTCACCGCTCCGCCAGACTTCTGACTCCATTCCACCGCTCTACTCCTCCCTCCACGGTTAAGATTCTTTTTCTGTTTAGCTTACCCTTTTCTTTTTTTTTGGATGAATGCTTTCTTCTCATAAGCGATTGTTGAATCCTCTTGGTGTTTGGTTTAGTACACCTATATCGCACAAAGCAATTTATCTAAAGAAAATCAGGACTGGAATTCATAAGGTGTGGATGAATGAGTTTTACTTTTTTAATTTTCTGGGTGGGTATGAATTTGTTTAATTTTCTGATGGGTTTCTTTACTGTGTTTGCATCTACATCTGATTGAGTTTTTTTTGGGTGTTTTTTAATTAAGGATTCGATGGTCATATGAGAATAGCTTTTTCATGAACCTTACAGGTACTTGCTATAATAAAAAATAAAAAAAAGCCACATGAGTTCCTTGCAGTGATGACTCTCAATGTTAAGGAAGTTATTTTGAAGATATTCACCGGTGGATGCACGCCGATAATAGATTGTATCTAATTCATGTATTGGATTTCATTTGTATCTCATTTATAGTTAGAGATCTAATCGTTAAAGCATAATTAAGTTAATGTATTTTGTTAGTTTTCAATGGTTGCTGTATAAATTCTCTCATTTTCAGTTTGTGTTGTTCATGATGAACCATTTCCTTTTATGAAATTCATGAGCAGGGTGTAACAGACAAATGCATAGCTTAATACAATTTGCACACTTATTAAATTCATGATGAACCATTTGCCTCCATGAAATTCATGAGTGGGAATATGTACACAACAGCTGTCCAAACTCATTAGCTTAATACCTAAAAGATGATATCAAAAAGTTCAAAATCAATATATGATAACTCTCTTCAAAGTCGATTTCCATATGTGTAACCCAACTGCCTATTTCAAGGATTTGCGCAAATATCTATCCATCTTTAAGCTTTCTTTTTGCCATTATTTAAATTCCTTTTCCTATATATGGATGATGCATTCAGATTGAAAATGTTTATTACAATTGTAAGCATAAGATTTCATTGTACCAAAAAAAGAAGAACAAACGGGGAAAATTTGGACTGTCCAAAATGCTTACAAGCATAAACGATGTCTAGTATTAGGAAAAACAACCTCAATTGCTTTTTTCATGGCTTTGTCTTGATCTGTAATTATTCCCTTTGGAGCACAACCATACATACAAGCAAGCCAAGACTTAAACAACCAAATAAATGTGTTGGCATCTTCACTTGAGATCAACCCACATCCTAGCAAAATCGATTGACCATGGTGATTGACCCCCACAAATGGAGCAAATGGCATGTCATACTTATTAGTCAAGTATGTGGTGTCAAATGTAACAACATCACCGAATTCTTCATACGCCGCCCTACTCCTTGCATCTGCCCAAAACACATTTCTTAAACGACCATCTTGATCTAAATCAATAGCATAGAAGAAATTTGTGTTCTTAGATTGCATATTCAAAAAATAATTTTGAATTGCAGTGGCATCTCCTTCCATTCCTACATCATATAGGACATGAGCTTATGATACATAAGCATATAATACCAAAATTTCAATACTACGGTCAATCAATTCATCTAATGACTAAAAAAAGAAGAAGAGAGAATTATAAACAAATTAACGTATCAAAAACATTAAACTAAAAAAAGAAACAACATAAGCCAAAAAAGAAACAGAAAGTTATATCTCAATGGTATACTACAGTCAAGTTATTACAGGTTCTTAAGAAAAGCATGTTTAACTAGTAAAAAAAAACTTAATTTGAGTACTGATTGAAACAAATAAATTAACGATTCAGCAACCGTGTATGAGAAGAAAGCATTCATCCCAAAAAAAAAAGGTAAGCAAAATAAAAAAAAAATGTTATAACGAAGGTTTACTAACCTAAAACCGTTGAGGAAGGAGTAGAGCGGAGGAAAGGGGTCAGAATCTGGCGGAGTGGTGGCAGAAGTCCGTGGTAAGCACCTGCGATGGGGAGGACTGGTGGAGGAAGGTTAAGCTAAATAGAAAAAGAATCTTAACCGTGAAGGAAGGAGTAGAGCGGTGGAATGGAGTCAGAAGTCTGGCGGAACGACGTCAGAAGTCTGGCAGAGCGGTGACAGAAGTCCGATGAAGCACCTGCGATGGGGAGGAGTGGTGGCAGGAGTTCGGCGAAGGAGGGAGAGAGAGAATTAGGGGAGGCAGAGAGACGTGTGAAAAGTGATCGTAGGGTTTAGTTTAGTTTATTTTTATTTTTAAATTTTTAACTAAAGAAAAATATATAAAATATTATCTCCTTAAAAAAAACACTAATATAATTTTAATGAGGTGGTTGTCCACATCAGCTGCCATGTAAGATGGTATTAAAATATGGTAGATTTATGTGGTAAGCATAGCATTACCCTTAAATAGTCCATCTGTCAAAAAAACTGTTAAATCTAAGGATATAATCGTCAAATCAATAAAAAATTATAAAAATATATATATTTTATTTCCTTCCCTTCTCACTTTCTTTTTATTCTTCTTCTTTCTTCTCTCTCTCTCCCGCTTTTTGGCCTGAATAATGAATGCATCCATCTCCTTTTTCTCAAAAAATCCCCAGCGCAAGCCCATTCTGCATAAATGGGATTTAACAATTTCTTCCAAAACTGCCCCTTTTTCCTCTCACTCGCAAGCACTCTGTCTTCTACAGTGCAGCCCCTCTCTTCCTCGCATTTCCTGTCTCTCAAACTTTGTCTTCTCAGGCCATCACAAAGGTTCTGAAAACCCGTCCCTCTCATTCTCTCTTTGGTCTGCCTTCTCGGAGCTCCACTCAGTGCAAGAGAGGGAGCTGAGTTTCTGCAATTTTCTTTGCAAAGTATCCGAGAAAGAGGAGAAGAGCTTGCTGAAAATATTCACACAAGTCGAAAGGTTTCATATTCTGAACACCTATGAACACCTTTTTCATATATTTGTTGAATTTTTTTGCGTTTCAATGTTAAATATGATGGGTTGTTAACCCCGATTTAAATGATTGATGGGTTTTGAAAATCTGTATAAAATATTTCTTGGTCTGGGTGGAATAAGTACTGCGTTTGTGTTTTGATATTCTAAATGCATCATGTTTTGTCAATTTTATTATATTTTGTTTGTGAATGAAGTATTAATTGTCGGAAGAGCCATTTGTCCAGCTGAGACGATCAGTAACTTTTAGGGCTGGGCATCTAAGCACCACCCTCGCCGCCTCCTCTTGTCTCTGCGATTCCTTCAGTTGAAGTCTCGACGTCACACGCCACCGAACAGGTGCGCACCATTGGCTCGTCGTGAGCTGGAATTGCTCATCTCCGATCACTACAATCGGGTAATTTTTAGTTCCCTTTTTGTCCTTGTTACTGAAGATTGGAGTTTATTTTTCATTTGGGTTATGTTTGATTTATAGCTTATTTATATCTAATTCGATTTTATTTATATGAAGTCTTGTGTGTAACCTGATTTTTTCATAGAAAGTGATGAAATGCTTTTAGATTTTGACATTATGGGTCCACTGTGTTTCCTATTCTGGTTATAGAATTCTTTGGTTTCAGTTTTTTTCAGTTTTTTCAGTTGTTTTTGTTTGTTTTTTAATCTCATTTGAGGTCTCTAGTACTCAGAAGTCTGAATGATATTTGCTCAGTGATGCTATTCATATGGGTTACTTGTAATTTCTGAGATCCTGCTTATGTTGAATTGTTCATTTGATGCTTCTCTGCAATTTTGTTTTCCTGTATTGGTCCAAAAAAGAAGTCTTAATATGTTAATCAACTTCTATATTCTGTTTAAAAAGAATTCTTGAATATGTAGTCTTTCGCACATCAGCTTGCCATTAGTATGAGCTCTGCAGTCAAAATTAACTCATTTTATTGTGACTGATCTTTTTACTTAACTTGACAAGTTTTGATAAGAGCTTGTTCAGTATTTGACAGTAAATATCATGTATTTTGTACACAAGTTTTTTCTTAGACCTTTGTTCAAACTAGTAGGAATTGTTACAGAAGAAGTTTTCTGCTCAAGTTTTCATTTTGATCAATTTCATAGACACATTATAGAGGTATCAAATGTCAATGTTTAGCCGTAGGGTTCCCTTTGGTTCTGGTTTTTGTGAGTTTTGTTTTGGACTGGTTGAGCATTACAGAGGTATCTGTCTCTTCATCCATCTCTCTCTCTCTCTCTCTCTCTCAGTTATATATAGCCAATTTTATTGTTTCTTCATATTTGTGTGGCCATAGTTTGGATTTTCCTGGTATCGTCAATCATATGGCTAGTGAACCATATTGAAGGTTATTGTAAGTTGTTCTACTGTTATGAAAAATCAAGCTTTAAATAGAGTTGTCATGAGCTTGCCTAAATTGGGTTCTATGTAGATTATGTTCTATGAAGGCTTGTTAGATTTGACAGAGTCTAAGAAGGAAATATGATAGTTTATACCTTTGAAAGATTTGATGATTGAATGATATTTTGCTTGATTGATTCATCTCCATATGGAGGTATTTATACAAGATTGATAATAATAAACTAAGAGACAATACAAAGTGGTACATGGTGGATACAACTAATACAAAGATTAACAACATAAAGCTAATATAGTGGTGGATAATGAGTTGGTGGATTGGTGGATAACATGTTCTCTAATAACCTTACCACGGAATTTTTTATTCATGGATTGTGGTGTGTGTGGTAGCAATTTTGTATCTCAGGCTCAGCTATATCACGGAATTCTTTATCTGCCATTTTAGTTAGAGACTTGTCAAGATTTATTCTCATTCCAATTTTGCAATTTGGTTATATACAGATATGATGGTGTCTGAAGTGACATTATTGGGGCCCTAAGTTGCATACCAAACAAGTTTTTGAATCTTAGAGAACTCTTTGTTTTTTAAAATAATCAAAGTTTTTGAATTCCCTACTTGGATAGAATACCAAACGGGCCCTGAGTTTTGGAATTAAGATTGGTTTTAAAAGAATTATGCATGTTACTTGTGGATTGTTTGGGAAAGTTGAGAAAGGATTTGGGAAATGGTTTTGGAAAGTTTTGAGAAATGGATTTCAAACCCACCTTAGGTACCCAACCCCCTGTTGCCTTCGGAATATAATGGTGTTTTGCTCTTTTTGTTCCTTATGCAGCTGACTTGATGGGATCTATTAACTTTTACGAGTTCGAGACTAAAGATGAAGTGGTGCTAAAAGCAAGACAGAAGGAAGCCATGAATGACGATCAATTCATGGTTGTACTAAGTACATCACATACAATACAAAGCGACTTGGTAAGATTTACTCCTCCGCAACATTTAAATTTTATTTTCTTATTTTCTGAAAAGTATGATGAATTTCTTTTTCTTTTTTTGTGTCAGGTAATCCCAAAAAAATTTGTGCAAAAAACAGAAATAAACAACTTGTGCACAAATTCCATACCCTTTTTCTTGCCTCCAGCTAATATTAAAACGAGGTCAAGGCATGAGAGATTTCGCTTGTTCTCCCTACGTGTAGAACGAGAAATATGTGTAGGTGAATGGGAGAACAAAAGGTGGAAAGCAGAGATCAAACATGAGCTGCAAAAACCTTACAGGACCAGTTTAACTAGGGACTGGCTAACCTTCTCAAGGGAAAATCAACTGAAAGTTGGTGACCACCTCATTTTAAAACTCCTTCCCGCCTCCCTGGAGTTGGTTTTGGTTGGCGTTTATCGCCACAAGGTAGCTACTCCTCTGCTTGCCTCCGATGGTAAGCTAGAGATTTAAAATTGTACGTTTTATTTATCGTCATTTATGTTCATTTCTATAGATCTTGATTAGTCAATGCTGCATTGTTCTAAGTAAATGTTTCTAAATATTATGCTCACATATTTGGAAGTTGAAATTGATTAGGGTTTTGGGGATCTATGTGTGTTCAGGTCGAAAATTACAGGCCAATGCAGAGGGTAGTTCCGAGGAGCTTGTGGATCCACCAAAGGTTGAGGACAAGATTGGGGCTGTTCCAAATGGGCTATCCACCGAATCTGACGTCGCTAATAGGTGAGAGTTTTTTTATTTTATTTTATTTTTTATAATCAATATCTGAGTTTTATGAATTTGAAGCCTCTTTTTAACAGTTTCTGAATAGATTGTATTACTTACCGTCACTGTAGGGCGGCAGAGTCAATCTCAAAGAGATCACTCCACAGCAACACGGAGCAGTTTCAGTTCCAGGCAGAGGTGTCTCGGCTCATGGATATTATTATCCACTCTCCCTATAGCAACAAAGACATTTTCCTCTGGGAGCTGATCTCCAATGCTTCTGATGTAAACCTTTGATTGACACTAATTTATCACACAATGTTCTATCATTGTTTCGATACTAACGGAAAAATTTTCCCGATTTTAGGCGCTCTACCAGATTAAATTCATTGCCCTCACAGACAAGGAGATTTTGGGTGAAGGCGATAACACTAAACTCGAGATTCTGGTTAGTGGGTGTTTCTTGCTTTGCTTTGACTTTATGAAGCACGCCAATCATGATATGTTATTGAACTTTGTCGCATTTTTAAAAAAAATGTGCAGATTAAATTAGACAAGGAGAAGAGAATCCTCTCCATACGTGACAGGGGTATAGGCATGACAAAGGAGGACTTAATCAAGAACTTGGGAACCATAGCAAAATCTGGAACTTCAGGTATGTATTGCTTTTATAAATTGAGTCTGAAAATGTCCAGTGAAATTATGTGTTGGTTTATACTGATTAAAATTTGTATTTACGTTGCAGCCTTTTTGGAGAAGATGCAGACAAGTGGTGATCTCAATCTTATTGGGCAATGTGGAGTTGGGTTCTACTCTGTGTACCTCGTTGCAGATAATGTGGAAGTCATTAGCAAACACAATCATGACAAACAGTAAGTGTTTAAAATATGTGTTACTGTTTCATTAATTTGGTTATGCTAACAGTTTTGGTAGGGCGCACTTTAACTGTTATATGATGATAATATAAATTTGTTGTGTTTCAGGCATGTTTGGGAGTCAAAGGCTGATGGGTCATTTGTAGTTTCTGAGGATACATATAATGAACCACTAGGACGTGGTACTGAAATTAGATTGCACCTTAGAGAAGAATCAGGGGAGTATTTGGAAGAGAGCAAACTAAAAGTAAGTGGTTCCCCATTCTATTTCATTTCAATTTTTACTTATGTTGGTTCCCCATTTTCCTTGGTGCTGGCTGGTACAAACAATTACCCTCTTCTTATTTATGCCTATTATAACTAGTAACATCCTCATCTCTGTTACTTGGATGCATTGTTGTTTTTGTTATATGGTGCCATTATAATTTGATGATTGTTTTGATTTGTTTTTTGTTTTTGGCAGGAATTGGTGAAGAAATATCTTGAATTTATCAACTTCCCCATTCACCTCTTGGCAAGCAAAGAAACTACTTATGAGTGGGAGCTTCAAAATGATGTTAAACCTATATGGTTGCGCAATCCAAAGGAAGTGACTGATGAAGAGTACACCAAATTCTATCACTCTCTTGCCAAGGTATTGTTCTTATATGATGGTTGCATGACCTTGTATAATGTTTTTGGGAACTAAATCACCTTTCATATTCTGTGGATTCATGAAGTGCACATTTTACACTGTTCAACAGGATTCCGGTGATGAGAAGCCTTTATCATGGAGCCACTTTACAGCTGAAGGTGACGTAGAATTCAAGGCTGTCCTGTTTGTGCCTCCTAAGGCTCCTCATGATCTATATGAGAGCTACTCTGATGCCAATAAATCCAACTTGAAGTTGTATGTTAGAAGGGTTTTCGTATCAAATGAATTTGATGAGCTTTTGCCAAAGTATCTGAACTTTTTGAAGGTAATGCAGGATATGTTTAAGTTCTTGTAAATAGGTTTATGAGATTGGTTTTTACATGCTTTCCAAAACTGGTTTTTACATTGATGATCTTATGATCAGGGTCTTGTCGATTCTGACACCTTGCCACTCAATGTATCACAAGAAATGCTTCAACAACACAGCATTTTGAAGTCAATTAAGAAGAAGCTCATCCGGAAAGCCCTTGATATGATCCGTAAACTTGCTGAGGAAGATCCTGATGAGTCCAATGACAAAGACAAGGAAGGTATGGTGCGCATATTATTGCTTCTTGTTAATATTTGCAAGCAGTTTCCTTGTGCTATTCTGGAAGTATTCAATCGGAGCGTACGAGTTGTTATATGGTACATTGGTGTCATGTTTACTGCAGCCCAGTTAAACTTGCATTAATACCATCCTTTGAAAACCAACAACTGGAGCTTCATGTTTTGCTGTTTTAGTAAAAGTTAGTAAAGGGGGAGAGAGTTACTAAGTTTGCATTAATTGTTCACTTTTGCTTTGTGTTGAATTTTGATGTGAAAACAGAGGTTGAAAAATCCAGTGATGATGATTGGAAGAGAGGCCAATATACTAGATTCTGGAATGAATTCGGCAAGTCCATTAAACTCGGTATCATTGAAGACACGGCTAACAGGAATCGTTTGGCAAAACTCCTAAGATTTGAGAGGTAAACATATTTTATTGTACTATTTATGTTTAGTTTTATTGGCAGCACTAAACGTCCTTATACTGCCTTTATGGGGTTGAATAACGAACTTTGAACTCTCTGGCAGCACCAAGTCAGATGGAAAATTGACTTCACTAGATCAGTACATTTCAAGGATGAAATCTGGGCAGAAGGACGTATATTACATTACTGGAGCCAGCAAGGAACAATTGGAAAAATATCCATTCATTGAGTGGCTTAAGAAGGAAAATTATGAGGTAAATATAAAAGATATTCAATCCTTGCACTTGTTTAAATATAGTTTTTTGTTACTTTCCTACTTGTTCTATTTGAGTCATGAGTAAGGCCTTTTTTTGTCTCTCTATTTACCTTTTTATATCCATTGCTGCAGGTTATTTTCTTCACCGATCCTGTTGATGTATCTCTGATGAAATACTTGGTGGACTATGAAGTCAAGGAACTCAAGGAATCATACAAGGAACTCACTAAATGGTGGAAGAGTGCTCTTGCCATTTATGATGTGGATGATGTGAAGCTGTCCATCCGATTGGCTGACACACCTTGTGTGGCTGTGACATCAAATTTTGGTTGGAGTGCAAACATGGAGAAGATCGTGCAGTCTCAGACTTTATCAGATGCTAGCAAGCAAGCATGCATGCGTGGCAAGACACTTGTGATTAACCCAAGGCATCCAATCATCAAGGAGCTCCAGGAGAGAGTAGTAAAGAACACTGAGGTATGTTCTAGACTTCTTCCCCTGCACTTACAGAAATGTGACATATATGAAGGTTTTCGCAGACTTAAGGTATATGTGCATATGGTCTTTGTGCATTCATGATGTTGTTCACTTTTTAAATGGTCTCCAACATTTATAAATGACTGGTGGGTCCTGCCTGCAAAATATTTTTAAGAAATCTTGACCTTTGTAAGTTGGATTTCTCTGTCATTATTTAAAATTGTTCATTTCTGATTGTTTCTCATTTGGGGATCTGATCTTTGTCCTAGTTATGAAATCAAAATGGTTCTTCATTTAGGTGGTTTAGATGAATAAATAGGCGCATTGCTATCACAGGTCTGTTAAGCAATTGAAAGAAGCCAAGGCCTATGCCTACTCTTATGGTTGAGTCTAAAAGCATGTCTTAGAAAATCCATTTGTTGAATTGTTGGTGAATCTGGTTTATCTCATTCGATTATTCGCTTGCTCTTTTCAGGATGAGAGTGCAAAGCAGACAGCAATGCTTATTTACCAGTTTGCACGCGTGGAGAGTGTTTCCAATTTTCCAGACCCCAAGGATTGTGCCTCCCGCTTCAACAGTTTAGTGAAATCTATCCTAAACATCAACCCTGATCTTGCAGTTGAGGAGGAAGAATATGTTGAAGAGGTTGAGACAGAAACTGCAAACACTTTCTTTTTTACTGAAATTACCTAGATAGATGGATTCAAAGATAAAGCAAACACCTTTTTTTTTATTTTTTTTATATATATACTGAAATTACAATCAAGTCGAAGAATGGCATTGCCTCAATCTCAAAAAGCTCTTTCTTTGATACTTGATTCGTACACTAACTTATACCAATTGCAATCGTTCAAAAACTAGCTTGGGAGACAAGTAAAGGGAAAATAAATTAGCGATATCTGTACACTCTATGCTAAATGTATCTAATCTCTAATCTAATCTATATCGTCGATCGTGGATGATTGTGTCTGTAATAGTGAACGTATACTTTACAAGCAACCTGTGGACTTCCTCATCAGCCTCTGTGGCTTACACGTATGGTGATTATATGCTAAGTAAAAGAAATAGAGCTTTATGCTTTGGAGGTTTGATTCCCTCAAAGAGATCACTTTCCCTATTTTCCTTTACTGTCCAAATTCACTAGTTGATAGGAACTTGATCCTATCAGTCGACAAACAAGTACCCGACCCGCCGTTCGGCTCCACCATCATGGGCAAGTTGTAGCCGTCCGCTAAGCTTACGTCGTAGCTCCTGATCTGCCTACGTTTTATCATGCAGACGTCATTGTAAACAAAGAGAAAATGAGGGAGGGGTAATGACTTTTGGATGTCCGCATAGGAGAATTTCTATAATTTTTATATATATATATAGTCCCATTTTATTTTATGTAAGGGATATTATTTGAGGGACACCCTTTAGGGTCATTCTACGAATTTTTTTCAATGATCCAAATCATTTATTTTTTAAGTATACATTCATAGATCATCCTTGCAAAAAACTAGACAAATCAGAAATCATTTTGACATCCAATTGTGTCCTACAAAATCAATGAACAAGGTATTTCAAGAAAGTACTAAAATTTCAATAACTCAATTGAGTAGTCAAATGATATCTAATTGAAGTGATTTTTTGTATAGATGATCTTTGAATGATTATCTAAAAAATAGACGGTTTGGATTAGTGAAATAAAATGTGGAGTGGGCCCTACAAGGGTATCCCTCAAATAAACTTATTTGAAGGATCCCTCAATAGAAGCTATATATATATATATATAATCAAATAAGAAATGTTATGTTTAATTTTAAACATAAATAATGTGATAATAAAATCAATTTTAAACATCTTGAGGAAATTGGTCAAAATATCGTTGATCCCAGAGACAGTTAGAGTGCTCTTGGAGACTTGTTTTTTTAAATCATCCTAAAAGAGAGAGAGAGAGAGAGAGAGAGAGAGAGAGAGAGAGAGAGAGAGAGAGAGTGTTAAAAAGATGATTGTGATGAAGGGAATTAATGGAGGGCAAGGGAAGAACTAGATCACTGTCACCCTTAATTTGCGATAAATGGAAATGAACGCAGGCCTAGAAGATGGACAAAACATATTTTTCTGCCATTATCTTTCGTTATGTTATTTTTCTATCTCATATTTAAGTTTTGTGATTAATGTTTTTTGCGTTTGTTCTTTTTGGTGTTCTAGGTTAGGAAGCTTTTGTCCGTTAATATGAGTTCAGTAAGTTTTAACTTGCTCTTGCCCAGGTTTTTCACGAATTGGAGCAGTTTTGACATTGTAGAGTGCTGCACTTTGGATGAATGGTCCTTTTGTAGGTGATAGATGAACCTCACTAAGGAATTAGAGTGGCAATTTAGGACTTGTGTTTTGGATGGTCGTGATGTAGTGGTACTCCTTTTTATTGACTATTTTTTCTGTCGTATAGGGTTTTATAAGATAAGGTTTTAATGAGGCCACACTTATTGTATCATCGATTCCAATTTATATAGAATTGTATTCTAACATTATGGAGCTCCGATTTTTTTCTTTGTTTCCTCATGATTGGTTCTGGCCATGAGTCTTTTTTAAAATCACACTCTTGTTCCTGACTCTCACATTAGGTTTGCGGATGTTTTCATCCTATCATTTGTACACTCTTATGATGTTTCTCAAATAAAGCATCTTTCCCAAAAATAAAAATAAAAGACATGTCATATGATAAAGTTTACAATTTTTTTTGAATAAGAAATGACAAGTGTATGTTGAATGTTAAATGAGATTCATAAAACACAACCTACATTCATATGCGTTTGTAAGTTTGTAGCACGTTATTGTTGCTTAGTAATTGCAATTTACTACATTGATACCAACTTACCACCAACTATCAAGTAAGCCAACATTTGTGAATTTTGACTGCACTGATTGTCATCTACCATGAAACAAAAAAAGAAATTCACAATGGAATATCATGATATGAATCACAACATTCAATTCAAAGGCTGGAAAATCTGAAAATAATTAAACTTCAAGGACGTGGACCCACTAGGAGTAGACCAGGACCCACAGTGCTACGTGTCGTCGACCCAAGTGGGAAATTCAGATCCGAATAGGAAGGAGGCCGGGAATCGTCCCAAGGCGTTGACCATCAAACCACCAGATCTCTTACCCTCTAACACGTAGACATAAAGAAAGAAAGGAAAAATATTCACATCAAAAAAAAAAAAACAGGAAAAATAGAAAAAAAAAGAAAAAAAGAGAAGCGTTAGACGCACCCTACGGCATAAGGTAGGCACCAAAGCGTCGGTGAGGCATCAAACATCTTAGGATGTGGTGAGGCACTCCGTCTCCGTCACCCGCTGCTCCCCGTTTTGGCTTAATATTATAATTTTCACATTAACCCCTAATAATTAATAAAAATTATTAGCGTATTAAGCTTAACTTCTATATTTTATTAAGCCCCAAGTAAATATATAAACCAAACCAAAGGAGGCCCAAACCCAAAATCAGATACATATTGAACGTGTTTGTCTGTCTCTGCAGAGATTAGAGAGAGAGTGAGAATGGGGAAGACCATGACGGTGGGAGTGCCAGTCATCATCGCCTTGCTAATTCTGTGTGGTGTAGATCTGGTCAGGTCAGACGCGTCGGATCATCGGTACAAGGAAGGAGATTTAGTCCCTTTGTATGCCAACAAGGTGGGCCCCTTCCACAACCCCAGGTAAAACCCAGACTCACGCTGCTCGCTCCTCGATCTCAACGTTTCACGCTTTCATAGCTCAATTCAGCTTCTGGGTTTGTTCATTTCGCTGTTATTTGTTCTGGATCTGAATTTATTTGTAGACCCATTTGTCTGGTTACTCAGAAATTTGCATGAGTTACAAGTTTTTCAGCTAAGACGACAAGATTTGTTTCAGCTGGGATAATTTAGACACTGTGATTGGAAAATTGAACTTACATCAATTGTGTTGAATTCAGAGCTGGATCTATTTTTAAAATTTTGATTTGGGATAGCCCATTATGCGGCTTTGCTAGCATTTTGAGATTGAACAGTGTTTTCATTGATATAGCGTGTGCACTGTTCTTGGAAGCTTAACTCTATTTCTGCTGAACTAGTTAATATTTTAGATGTAAGTTTGACTATGGTGGAAATTTGGTATTCACAATTACAATTTAGTTAATTTTGTATTTTTTGGGTGATTACAGCGAAACCTACCGATATTTTGATCTCCCATTCTGCTCACCAGGTTTGCATCAATCGGATTCGTTTTTATCTTTCTTACTTCTTACATAATATGTCTTCATCTTCTGCGACGACTTTCATTTACCTTAATATTTGGATCTTAATTGCAGATAAGGTGAAAGAGAAGAAGGAAGCTCTAGGTGAAGTATTAAATGGGGATCGTTTAGTCAGTGCCCCTTACAAACTAGAGTTCCAAAAGCATAAAGATTCAGAAGTAGCTTGTAAAAGAACAATCAAAAAGGAAGAAGTGGCCCGGTTCAGATCTGCTGTCAACAAGGACTATTACTTTCAGATGTATTATGATGACTTGCCCATTTGGGGTTTCATAGGGAAGGTTGACAAGGAAGGCAAAGACCCGAGTGAATACAAGACCTACCTGTATAAGCATATTCATTTTGATATCTCTTACAACAAGGACCGTGTGATTGAAATCAGTGTTCAAACAGATCGAAACGCACTGGTTGACCTTACAGAGGATAAAGAAGTTGATGTCGAATTCATGTATACTGTAAAATGGAAGGAAACAACCACTCCTTTTGATAAGAGGATGGATAAGTATTCTCAGTCCTCATCGCTGCCGCATCATTTGGAGATCCATTGGTTCTCGATTATAAATTCATGTGTGACAGTTCTCCTCTTGACCGGGTTTCTTGCCACAATTCTCATGCGAGTGCTTAAGAATGATTTTGTCAAGTAAGCATATTTAAGAGTCATTTATCACTGTTTTCTGTCTGCCAGTTCACTCATTTTTTAATTTACTGTTTGTTTCTCTATAAAAGATATGCCCATGATGAAGAAGCAGCTGAAGACCAGGAAGAGACTGGATGGAAATACATTCATGGAGATGTATTTAGATTTCCCAAGTACAAGTCTCTGTTTGCAGCAGCTCTGGGTTCAGGCACCCAACTATTTACCCTGTAAGTGCTCATTCATCCAGCTATAGGTTTAGCACTAACTCTCATTTTTCGAAGTTTCTCATTATTTCTTGTTTTTTTCCATGCCATGCAGTACAATATTCATTTTTATACTTGCTCTTGTTGGCGTGTTTTATCCATACAACCGAGGGGCTCTATTTACTGCTCTGGTTGTCATTTATGCACTCACATCAGGAATTGCAGGATATACTGCTACTTCATTTTATTGCCAGCTAGAGGGAACAAACTGGGTATGTGATGATAAATTCCCCTGCTAGGGTTTTGGAATCATTGACTAAAGTTGATATTATATGAATTGAAGATTGAACTTCCTGGTATGGCAGGTTAGGAATCTATTGTTGACGGGATGCCTCTTCTGTGGACCTCTGTTCCTTACATTCTGCTTTTTGAATACTGTTGCAATTGCTTATACGGCCACTGCCGCGCTTCCCTTTGGCACAATTGTGGTTATAGTTCTGATTTGGACACTTGTAACATCACCTTTGCTAGTGTTAGGAGGGATTGCCGGGAAGAACAGCAAAGCTGAGTTCCAAGCTCCTGTTCGCACGACTAAATATCCCAGAGAGATTCCACCTTTACCTTGGTACCGGGCAACAATCCCTCAAATGGCAATGGCTGGTTTTCTGCCTTTCAGTGCTATATACATTGAACTGTACTACATTTTTGCCAGTGTGTGGGGTCACAGGATTTACACTATTTACAGCATCTTGTTTATTGTGTTTATCATTCTTCTGATAGTCACTGCTTTCATTACTGTGGCATTGACATATTTCCAACTTGCTGCTGAGGACCATGAGTGGTGGTGGAGGTAAGCAGGTTCCGTGCATCTTAATTTTTTGTTAGGGGTTTTATGCAAGTTATTATGTTTTTTATTCCTATGCTTGCCGTTACTGTCTCTTGATTAACTGCTTTTGTTGATATGACCTGCAATTATATTGACGTCAAGTATTCGTGACTGATGGAGAAATGGTCTTGAAAATTCCGAGAAGTGGGATATATGGATTTTGTAGGTTTAGGATTAAGAAAGCTAGACTAAGGTAACGGGTGCACAGAATTAAAGAAAGAAGAGCTGCCATGTTCTAGGCAATTGATATTTAGGATTTATGGACTTTTTATTAATTAATTTTGTGGATTGCCTTGGTTGCTCATTAGTGTGGTATTAGTATTACGTGTTATATAGTACTTGATTTCACTTCAACCTGAAAATTTGGACATCAATTTGTAAGCCATTTTTATCTTCAGAAGATGTAAATATAATATTCCTTGATTGATGTATAAATGTTGGTTTGATTACAGATCTTTCCTCTGCGGTGGATCTACTGGCATATTTATCTATGCCTATTGTTTGTATTACTACTACACACGCTCGGATATGTCAGGATTTATGCAAACATCATTCTTCTTTGGTTACATGGCATGCATCTGTTATGGTTTCTTCCTCATGCTTGGAACTGTAGGCTTCCGTGCAGCTTTGCTTTTTGTTCGTCACATATACCGATCCATCAAGTGTGAGTAGGTAGTTGTTCTCCAAGAATCAATCATCATGGGAGATGTATTTTCTGGTGTTTTTCATCTCATAGGCACCTACCTCCTTGTAGAGAAGTTCCTCAAAATTAATTTTGTAGTGCCTCCTCGTGTACTAAAGCAGTGTCATGAGATATCTTGCTTTCCAGAGCAATGTGTTAGATCACAATATGGTCGACTATTCATAGAGACAGTTTGTATCATTACCTTTCAAGCTTTGCAATACATTCTTTAAATATCTTCCTCTCTCCTACATATCGTTATAGAGTTACCCAATATTCTCTCATGCTCTCTCTCTCTCTCTCTCTCTCTCTCTCTCTCTCTCTCTCTCTCTGTGTTTGTAAATACATGGCATATTATTATTGGCTGCTGCTTAATACTAGTGGAAGCAGCTGCTACATGCAAACTAAGATCATAAAAAAGGGCCAACTAAGAGCGTCGAACCAAAGAACAAGGAAATTTAAAAATAAAAAAAGATTTATAAACTTCGTGGTAAGAACATGCAATCAAAAAATTGAAGAAATGTTTCCACGCCCGAAAAAAAAAAAAAGAACTGAAGAAATGTTGGGGTGCCTTCCAAGTTTCCCAGTGGTATTAGGCCCATTCCTTTCACCAACAATAATGAAATTCATCTTGATGTTTTCTTTCTTTAGCGAATGTTTTTTAAGCCTTCAAAATATTCAAATTACATTTCTCTCCAGGAATCTTAAAACATGACTCAAAAACACTGATTATCCTACCCGCTTCCCCTTGTAGACAGTGGAAGGGCGGTCGTGTATTTTGATGCATTACTAAGAATCTCATTCACTAATTTCATTACTAATCATCTGAATTAAGGTATTTTTGGGTGTGTCTTTATAAGAAGTTTTGTCAGAAGCGTTTTTAGTTTCCATTACCTGTTGCTATGTAATGTGATATTATATATTTGGCCGATACAAAATTTACTTTAAAAATCTAGTAAAATTTTTATATAAAAAAAATATAGTTTTTTAAAAAAAAAAAAGAAAAAGAGAAAGAAAAACGAGAAAAAAATACATATAACTGAGAAGAAAAGATAAAAGGAAAGGCCTCGAAAATGAGTTAATGGTGATGAGAACTTAAAAAGGTAGGACAGTTGAGCATCGCACAACATCTGGAATTCAAGACTCGAAATTAATGAGCCGCGAATTTCTTTATCTCTGGTTGTAGTCTGTCACAGTATCCACAGCGATTTGCAGAAACTGGACGGAGACTGGTGAGATATGTCCACTGCCTCATCTGCTCTGGCGCTCCGCCTCCCCTTTGCTTCCCCAATCACCACCACCACCAAACTCACTTACCCAGTAAGCTTTCTTCTTCTTTTCCTCCTCACCATTTCACAAGCTTTACTCCCGCGTATTTTGTTTCGTTGCTTCTATTTTCTTTTTCTGACCACCAAATATACAGAAACAACAATCTATAATCATAATCCGTGTTACTAATCGTAATTAACAGATACGTAGCTCACGTTGGTCTACAACTAGTGCGAGGCTTGTGGGTTGTGCTCATGCTGCCATTTCAGGAAGAGGGCAAGGTACATTTTTGCTCTCTTTATGGCCTGCCTTTTAGTCTTTTAGATTGTTTCACGTTTTGGATTGTTTATTCGATATGGGTTTTGTTCACTTTTCAGGCACCTTTGATCCAGAATTGCGTTACGTACTTGAACTTGCGACGGACTCTGAGTTATATGAGCTTGAAAGAATCCTTTTTGGCCCTAGGTACTTCAAACTGTATAATTCTTTCTGTTTCGTTAATATGAAACTTCGGACAAGACTAGAAAATCGTGTTTGCTTCTCACACCTGTTATTTTCGGTAAAGGAGTAGTGTCAACTGTTAATCAAACTCAAGATTAAAAACTTGAAGTTTCCTTGTGATGCTGACGTTTTTATCTTTGGTTGCTGTCAATGTCCAGCTACTTCAGCCCTTTGCTGAAATCTATAATGAGCAGAACCAATGTCGACTATGCAATGATTGAAGAGGATCTTGAAGAGCGAGAGGAATTTTTATCCACATTAGAATCGCAATTCTTATTCCTCGCAGCTGACGCCCGGTCAACATTAAGGTTTTTCCTCAACTTATGTAGACTGGGGTCAATGAGTTCTTCTGCAATCTTATCTGCAAAATTCACCTCCTAAGTTAACTTGTTTGGAGTCAATATTACTCGAAGCTTATGGGGTGACTTGCGATTGAATTGAACGTATGAGGGATTCCGAGCTATGAATTGTGTTCCAAGTTGTGTAATCCTATATTTTTTTTTACTAAACTAACTGCTAGTGTCATATAATTGTCAGCTATGTTTCGCTCATGTTGACTTTGCAATTGGTTTGTGTTGGATACTTGGTAGGGGTTGGAGGCCATCATATAGGAATGTCTTGCTTGCAGTGAGAAAAGAGTTGAACATTCCTTGCTCAAGCAAATTGTCAACTGAAGACCTTGAAGCAGAGATTTTCCTTCATCTATTGCGAGACTATTCAAGGCATGTGTTCTGTATATATTTCTCTAGTATTTAGACCTTGGTTTTTATTAGTTTCTGAAGTAGAAGTAACTTTTCTTTTATATATATATATATTATGCATTTATGCTTTGATTAAATTCTATTTTGAATTATTCCAATTTTACATGCAAATTATACTTTTCTTCCCCTCACTCGTAATTCATCTCAGTTAAATAAGTCTGCTATAAGCCTTCAGTCAAACTAGTTAAAAATCCTGTTTGTTTCCATTCTATAGGTCCTAGTTCCCTTATGGTATCAGAGCCAAGGGGTTAAAGGAGTTGAGTCTAAGTCTGCTACTCATATCGCCAAAGTGGCTGATTTAAGTTTTCTGAGTTAGCAAGTCTCCCAAGTCTCTTCTAATTTAGCCAGTCTCCCAAGTTACTTCTGAGTCTTCTCAAGAGTCTGTAAGGTAAGTCCAGGACCAAACAGTAAGTCCCAGGTAGTGGCCTGAGCGGTTATGGCACAAGAAGGTGAGAGAGAGAGAAACCCATAGGTCTTAGGTACCTTAGAGTTAGTCTTAGGAGTCACCCAAGAGTCCTTCTAAATTGAGAAGATATGTAAGAGTCTTTCTAATTAAGTTGGTTTGAGTCATTCACGTAGGCAAAATGAGTCACCTATTTAGAACCAATTCAGTTAATTCTTCTAGTTCTAGAACCAGTTTGAGCCCAGTACCAGACATAGTTAATGAAGAACAGTTAGAATTTGAATCAACTAGTAGCGAGTTACATTGTAATGATTGGAATATACCCAAAGTTCCTAGTAAAGAAATTTATAAGCAAAAATGGTCAATTAATGCGTTTAAGCAAACTACGCATGTTAAGACAGTAGAACAAGTCTATGCCTTAGGAAAAGAACATGAAACATGTCAGTTACTTAATCTTGAGTCAATTAAGAAACATAGGAAAGAAGGTAATAATTTTTTACATATAGGATTAGTTCAAGTCGCAGTTAAACCACTAACTAAGCTAGGTCTTAATGCAGCAATTCTTTTAAGTTTAAGAGATGCCAGATTTAATGATTTCGAAGATGGAGTTTTAGGAATTATTGAGTCAAGCTTAAGCCATGGTCCAGTTCATTTTGATTGTTTTCCAGATTTCACAGTTAGCCTAAGTGATCCTCATATATTAAAAGTTTTAACTTTAAATATAAAAACTCATGGTTATAATGTTTTACCAGGGAGCCAACCTTTAGCTTTAATTTATAGAATTTATTACAAAGTCACAGGTACTAATATGAATTTTCAAGCCCTTAGTAAAAGCCCAAAGAATCAAACACTTTTAATTCAGAGTCATACGTCTAATGCTAATATCACAGTTCCCAAAATGATTAGATGGTCTGATATAAAGTTACCTCCAGATTGGTTTCTTACGACTGAGTGCCCCCCTAAGCCGGTTCAATGTAGTCTAAACGATTTAGATTACATTCAACCTTATTTAGATGGTACAGTTAAAATCAGCTTCGATAGGCCAGTTAAATCCACAGTTCAATTAGAACAATTACCAACGCCTAGTCAGTCTTTTAAGCTCCCCGCCAGACATTCATCTGCTGAGTCGTCCTCAATTACAGAACGAGATTTAGAAGCCGATAGAGCCCTAATAGATCTAAAAATTAATGAATTAAGAAAACAGAAGCAAGTAGTTCAACCAAGATACGGAAAAGCCCCTCCTGCCCCTCCTGAGTCAGTTCAGCCAGAGTAACCTACCCGTACAGATTTTGAAGGTTCTACCTTTGAAGTTTGTGATGCCCAGTTAAGAGTTCTTAGTAAACCATTTAAAATTCGTTGGTCAAAATTAGATGCCCATTTCCAAGCCCCCGAAAATGAACCAGAAAAGCCAAGTATCATGATTCTTTCCCCAAAAAACAAAGAAAAGAAATTTTCAATGAATGGAAAGAATATTTGAAAAAGACTAAGTCAGAGTCACCTTATCTTGATTATGTAGAAAGCAAATACATGAGTCAAAAGCTAGTCACTTTAACCCAGGAAAAATGGGAAAAAACTGACAATACCAAAGTTATTAGTACTCACCCCCCAGTCGAATCAATAGTGATTAATCACAAGAATGCCAAAGTCATTGCTAGCCCTTACAAAATTGCTGAGTCAAAAGATGATTTAGATAAAAAAGTCATAGAACAGAATAATTATGCCAACGCAAGTCTAATAGTCATAGGTAAACAATTAGATAAAAGAGAAACAAAAGTTGATAAGTTGATCCCTGGAGAAGTCACCGCTAAGCCTAAGAAGGAAAAACCCTTAGTTAAATTTCAAGAGTTAAAACCAGAGTCTTCCCTTAAGGTCAGTCCAACAATGAAGAAAATAGTTATATATATATATATAATATATATAACCATCCATAAGGAAGGAGAGATCAAAGAGAACTCTCCCTTAGGTATGAGAAGTGAACTATGGGATGTGCTTGCAAAATGTTGTGTGATGATTGTGTATTTTCCATATTGATAAAGATTTCAAAAGATCACTGTAAATGGTTGTTGTTTGGGAAGGAAGGGTAGACAGCGAAAGAATCTTTTCTGTAATTAGAGTTGGATATAATTATTTGATCCAGGTAAGTGGTATAAATCGAAGAGTTCCTCCATCTTAAACCATATTACGATAAAAAAAGGAAACCAAGACTGAATACTTGCATCTAAATCGAAGAGTTCCCTTGAGATTGTCTGCTAATCAGAAGTATAGACCAATCTTTTCACCAAAAAAGAATATTAGTGTTCAAGCTGGTACAAGGGCAGGGAGGAGAGTTGAAGTGAAAGCAAGTCAGTACTTTGAGCAAAACATTGATTCCCAGTGATGCTTTAGAAGATGTGGTGTTTTGGTAGAAAAGAGTTCATGTCTTGGACTAGTTGGTACATACATTGATGAGTTGATATTTAGTAAATGCTATTTGATTTCAACAACTTATTGTTTGAGTGGATCATTGTATCTTAGGAAAAGTTTACTTTCTTTTATTTTAAAAGTGCTGTAATGACTTATAATGAGTCACTTCATTCATGTAGTGAAGAATCAGGAAGTTTCCAGGGCTTGTTGGAATTCTCTGAGCCCTCTGATGCTCAACATAGTCTTCAACTTGGACTCAGTCAATGGAAGGTGCAGGCCCTTACTGCTTTAAAAGTCAGCGCAACAGAGCTCCGATCAATGTTTTTGAAGGTAATGTAGCTTTACCGTAATGACTTTATGCAGTATCAAATCTCTCCAACTTAAGTTCATAATTTTAAATTCTGTTGGTTCTGATTTTCTCTGAAGGGTGGCGGTATCTTTACTTTGGCAAAGATTTATCAGTTGGTAAGAATTTAGTCAACCTGATTAATTTTATTTTGCTCTTCTTTTTATACCATTTAACTATTTTTCCTTTGTGGTAGTTAGCTAGAAAGTTATCTGGGAAGGTGTTCCTAGAAGCTGCCAACTATCAGCTAAAAAGTGATTTTGTCAGAAAGGTACATATTTGACTTCATTGCTATCTCGTTGTAAAAGGAACCATAAATGAGTTTTCTGATATTAATATGCGGAGTTCAATTCTTTTCAAATTTATTACAGCTTTAACGCTTTGAACTCCTGCTATTTATTGATATTAATCTTTACATGGGCAAAGTGACATGTCTTCCTGCTATTACATTCAAATTTTTCTTTCTATTTTCAAACTTAGATATACAGCTTGTGAACTTGGGTGACACCACCTAGGCATTTTTCAATATTTTCTCTTTATGAAAGTTACTACTCAGTATCGGGCTATTAAAGAGATATGAGAGAGAGAGAGAGAGAGAGAGAGAGAGAGAGAGAAGGGATAAAAACTGGGAAACTCCTCAATTTTGGTGACTCCACTTAGGACATACACAAGTTTTGCATACATACTTTGTGCATAGATTTTATTTTTGTGTCCTGCCATTCCCAGTGTGCATGCTCTAGATTTTGAAGATTTGCCTCTTCATCAGTTACATTCATGGATATACATTACTCTGGTCCTCCTGTGTCTGATATTTTTTAAGGTTTTTAATTCCCCTTGTCTTCATGTCATGTCATCTCCCATGTCCATGTCTATATGGAGCATTAATGACTCTATTTCTCTAATTAACCTTTATCCCTGACATTCCCATACTTTCTGGATTTTCAGGGTGGACAATTAGCTGCTATTAATCTAGAGTCCAGAGCGGCCTTTCTTGCAGCAAAACAAGTAATTATATCCTGATGATGATTCAATTTGCTGTGACTGGCATCTAATGATTTCTTTATGCGATAGTGGCATTCTTATATATATATATATATATATATGTAGAAAAACTATTGTATGAGCTAGTGGCATTTTTATTTGGTCGGGTCTAAGTATTGTTTCAACAAAAACCTGAATCAATTGTAATTTGTAGCAAATGCTGATATGAAGGAAACCTCTTTCATTCTTGTGGTTTATATAGTGTTCTATGTTCCTCTCCCACCCCCCTTCCACCCTCCTCACATTTCAGGATTCCTAATATTTGTCATTTTGGACAGGGTTTTGCAGGGGCTACATCAAGATATCTTGGTTTAAGAAGCGTGATGGCTTTGCTTGGCCCAGTGTATTGATTCTTCCTACACCTAATTTCTAAAATGTTATTATTTAAAATTTCCATAAACTTGCTTTTCTTGTTCGTTTGCAAGGTTCTTTTACGCACACCCTGCCACACACACACACACACACACACACACACACACACAAGCACGCACGCATACTCAACTACGTGTTTGTGTAAGTATTATTTTGATTGTTCCTTTATCAAACTGTCTGTATATTGTGTTTTCTAATTTCTAAGAAAGTAGAATAAGGAGGAATGCTTAGGTAGTTAAGGTTGGTGCCAGCATAAAACTTAGTCACTTCTCGGTAACCAAGAGTCATTTTGGGTGAAAAAGGACTAGTGTAGCTGACCCAATTAATTGAGATTAATTCCTAGTTGAGTTGTTTTTGTTTCCTCCCTCCCTTCTTTGTTTCAGTGTTGGTTAAACTGCACCTTTTGAAATGAGTTTCAGATTTCTCCACACCTTGCTGACAGAGAATGAGATTAATCACTGGCTTTCTTTAATTGGTTTGGATTGGATCTATTTTTCACACAGAACAGCTTTGAGGCTGTAAGCCTGTAACTGAACACGTACCTTCTAAAGTTTCAATGGATTCATCATTTTGTGGTTGTAAAGACCCCACATGAACATAGATTTTGATAACACAAGTGGCCCGTTGCTTCAAATTTTGATGATTAAGCCAAATGTGCTCAAGCACCAACTATAACAGCTTGTGGCTACTTTTGATGATCTTCAAGATTTTTGGTCTTTAGTATTTTACTGAATTTTTCCAGCAATTGTTATTAATTCATTTATTTTGGCATTTTATGCAGGCTTTGGGGAACATTTCTGGCAGATGTGGTCATTCAAATGCTAGGAACTGATTATGCAAGAATCTTGCGAGCAATTTATGCTTTTGCACAGGTACTAATCTTTTCTAGTTTTGGCATGGTTGAAATGTCTTTTATGTAGTGGACCCAAACTTGACAGTCAAATTAAACTAATACAAATGAAATGTTGCGGATATTAGACAACCAGCTTCCTCTTTGGGAAGAAAATTTAGATGTGCACTTTACACCCAAACACAAACAGTAAACAGACCAGGTTACCGTCTAATCTATGAAGTTAATTGAGTTTTTATTGCTTTTACTTCAGATCCGTATCACTCGCACATACAGGTTACCGCCTGATTACTGAAAAGCTTTGCAATTTTGGGAGGTAAATGTGGATGGTCATCATTTTAAGCAGAGATTTGTGGTCAAGATTAATTACTCTGTATGTATGTACATATAGTTTTGCAGTTAAAGTTAAACTACCAGTCTGCTTGTGTTGATAATTTTTGCATGTGTAAGAAGTAACAGTAAAAGCTGAAAAGATTATGTACTCTGTGGTGCTAAATTGATTGAGATGTGTGGATCTGCTGCTTCCATTTGCGTCTGCATATCTTTGGAAAGCAAGAGAATTTGACTTTTTATTTTGAGATCCGAAGAATAAGATGCATATAGACTAGTTGATGATGCATGGACCCTGGAAGAGAAAATCATGAAGTTTTGGGTAGATAGGGTAAGGTAGGGCCTAGGGGTCGCCATCCCAAAGTTGGTGGAGGGACTTTTAAGGTCCAACCTCGTAAACAAAGAAGTCTCCTGCATACATCCTGCGGTGGGGAATTTGGTTGATCTTGTTCATTTCATCATCACCTAATTCCCAATCGAATATTTCAAGGTTCTGCTTCATCCTCTCCCTTGTTGAAACTCCTCGGAACCGCACTTGGTCCTTGCTGGATGATGGATCTCAGTATGATCTGTATATACAATATATAATTACTAAATTAATATATAGCAGGAAATTTATCAACTAAATTAATATATAAAAATAATAGGGAATACCTGTGGCACAGTCTTCCCTTTGGCAGCAGCGAGGTCCTCGATAATGGTATAATAATCTTTCCCGGTATTGGTAGCCGAAGAGGAAGCTTCATAAACTCCCAAGGGAGAAAACACACTGGCATACTCCAGTCCAGAGCCAGCTTCCTTCTCATGAATATACATACAACGATTGTTTGCATTTATTTTCGTATAATTTTAAATACAATCAATAGTCTAAACTACTCTAAATTAATTGAATCTACGGGGAAGAGACTCAAGTTGAACACACAAAAAACAAACAAATACACTGATACTGATAGGCTCTAAATATATATTAAGTAATAGTAGTAGAGCGAGAGAGTGGTACTTAGTACTTACTGGAGTGTGGTGTTGAGGGCAGGGAGAATAAGATTGGGAGGCATCTGTGCACCATAGTTTGGAAGTAATGAAGATTTCATCACGACTCTTGATGAGACCTCGCTCGAGCGCCTGGACAACACCTCGACCAATGGCTTGTTCGGATTGATAGAAAGCGGCAGTATCAAAATGGTGGTAGCCTACCTCAATGGCGTCCATGAGAATGGGGGAGCAGGACATCCGTTGGTGTTGGAGGCAACTTACCAGTCCCTAAACCCAGCACCGGCATCTTATGCCCTGAATTTAGTACCACTTCTGGGACTTTCTTTATTCTCTCCTCCATTACTGGCTGACTCTCCTGATCCTGATGAGATTCAGTTTTGTTTTGATCACCCAGTAGTAACAGTTAACTATCTAAAAGCTATAGCTAGCTTAGCTAGCTACTAATTAAGGAATCTCCCTCCAGTTGCAGCTATGACTTTGACGTTCTCGCATGGGAAATTGTGGATTAATAATAATAGTACACAAGATCCATCCTTCCATGAAAGAAGTAGCAAAAATCAAACATCAGTAAGCATGGTCCCTTGATTAATTAATAATGGATGATGCACATAATTATTAGGCTTATTATCACAAAACGTCCCTGACGTTTGCGAAATTATCACATTGCATCCCTAACGTTTTTTTGTATCATTAATGGTCCCTAACGTTAATACAGGTACTCTTAAATAATCCTTCTGTAAAAAAAAACCGTTAAATTTAGGGGCATAATCGTCAAATCAATCCAAAATTATAATATTTTTTTTCCCTTCCCTTCTCTCTCTCTGTTTCTCTTTTTTTTCTCCTCTCTTTCCTTCTTTTTTCTTCTTCTTTTCCTTCGCTGTTTCTTCTTTCTCTCCCTTTTTTTCTTCTTCTTTCCTTCTTTGTTCCTCATTTTTCTTCTTTCCTTCTTTCTCTTTTTTT